GGTCTATGGGGGGGTGGGATGGGTTTAGGGGTTCCTGGAGCCCCCCACATTGAGGTCTATGGGGGGTGGGATTGGTTTAGGGGTCCCTGGACCCCCCCAAATTGGGGTCTATGGGGGGTGGGATGGGTTTAGGGGTTCCTAGAGCCCCCACATTGGAGTCTCGGGGGCGGTGGGTTTACATTGGAGTATCTGAGGGGGGGGATGGATTTAGGGGTCCCTGGACCCCCCCATTGGGGTCTATGGGGCAGGGGGCGCCCCCCTCTCACCTCTTAAAGGTGCGGCCGATGCCCTCGCCCTGGCTCCAGCCCATGCCCCGCAGCATGGCCAGGCCAAAGGCCTGCACCGGCACCGCCGCGTAGTCCCTGGGGGCCCTGGGGGGCACAGAGGGGGTGAAGGGGGTGCAGTGGGGCAGGGATGGGGGGCAGGGGGGGACCCACGCACCGGCTCGGGCCGCAAAGCGATGTCCGGAGCCTGCAGGCAGATGGGGATGGAGAGGGGGGGGCCGGGGTCGCCGTCGCTGTGGGTCTGGCTCTGCCGGGCCTCTGGGGGGGGGCGGAGGGGACAGGGGGCAATGGGGGTGATGGGGGGGGAGGGGGGCATCGGATATGGCCCCTCCCCCACCCCATCCCCCGCCCCCATCACTCACCCTGCAGCAGCTCCTGCACCGCCTGCGCCTCCACCGAGGGGGCGTGGTCAGAGGAAGGGGCGGGGCTTGCGTCGGAGGGGGCGGGGCTTGCGTCGGAGGGGGCGGGGCCTGAGCCCGCCCCGGGTGGGGGCTCCGGGTTCCGCCAGCGGTGCGAGGGCACGAGCGGGATCACGAGGTCTGAGGAGGGGGCGGGGCCGGCCGGGAGCTGGGGGAGGGGGAAGGGGGGGGGGGGGCGGAGCCGACGCCTTCAGACACGCCCACCAACGCGGCTGGCCACGCCCCTCAGTCCATTTATGGTGAGAGCCAGCCTCTCCATGAGCTTTTCATGGCCAAGCCACGCCCAACATTCCTTTTATGGTAAAACACCCAGGAGCCTTTTTTGGCTAAAACACGCCCCAAAGCCACGCCCCCTTCGCAAGCCACGCCCCACGCACCTTTTATGGTGTGAAACCCTCAAACCACGCCCCCTACACAAGCATTTTATAGCAAGAACCCGCCCCAAACCACGCCCCGTACAAGGTCACGCCCCACACACCTTTTATGGTGAGACCCCCAAACCACGCCCCGTACAAGGTCACGCCCCACACACCTTTTATGGTGAGACCCCCAAACCACGCCCCGTACTAGGTCACGCCTCACACCCCTTTTATGGCGAGACCCCCTCAAACCACGCCCTCTACACGAGCCTTTTATGGCAAGAACACGCCCCCAGCGCACCGGCCTCGCGCATGCGTACCACGGCTTCCACCACCCCTCCGAGTCCCGCGCATGCGCAGCGCTCACCTCAGCAGCTCCCGGCCTTCCACGGCCGTGAGGAGGTCGGTGTCCCCGCTCCCGGTCGGCCTTCCACGGCCGTGAGGAGGTCGGTGTCCCCGCTCCCGGTCCCGCTCCCGCCGGGCTCCGCGCACGGCCCCGCCGGCAGCAGCCGCCTCCGCTCCGCTTTACGGCTGAACGCGAACGACACCGGGCCCGGTGCTGCCGCCGCCGCCGCGCTGCCGGCCTCCGCTCCGCTGCTCGCCGCCATCCTTGCCCCGCCCGCGGTGCACTGTGGGACATGGAGGCTCCTGCACCACTTCCGGACTACGGCTCCCGTCGGCCTTTGCGGCGCTGCGGCCGCTGACTGGTGGAGCCGGCCGCCCGTTGCCCTGGCGACCCGCGGCTGGTACCCGAGGGGCGGGGCCATGGGGGGGGGAGCGGGGATGCGGGGGGGGGATGCTGGGGGCAATGGGAGCGATGCGGAGGGCAGTGGGGCATTAATGGGGGACTGGGAGCACTGGGGGGGCAATGGGAGCAATGGGGGGGCACTGGGAGGGCACTGGAGCAATGGGGGGGCACTGGGGGGCACTGGAGCAATGGGGGGGCACTGGGGGGCACTGGAGCAATGGGGGGCACTGGGGGGCACTGGGAGCAATGGGGGGGACTGGGGGGCACTAGGGCGGAACTGGAAGCAGTGGGGGGGGCACTGGGGGCATTAATGGGGGACTTGGAGCACTGGGGGGAGCACTGGGAGATACTACAGGCACTGGGAGCAATGGGGGGACATTAAAGAGGCACAGGGAGCACTGGGAGGGCACTGGGAGCAATGGGGGGGCACTAAGGGGCAGTGGGAGGGCATTGAGAGCGATGAGGGGGCACTGGGAGCAATGGGAGGGGCACTGGGGGGCACTGGGAGGGCACTGAGAGCGATAGGTGGGCAGAGGGAGCAGTGGGGACGACACTGGGGGCATTAAGGGAACCAGGAGTGATGAGGAGGGGCAATGGGGGCATTAATGGGGGGACTGGGAGCACTGGGGGCGCACTGGGGGCAGTAACGGAGCACTGGGGAGCACTGAGGGGGGCACTAGGAGCAATGGGAGGCGCACTGGGGGCATTAATGGGGCACTGGGAGCACTGGGGGCATTGGGAGATACTGGGAGCAATGGGGGGGGCAATGGGAGAGATGGGGGGGCACACTGAGGGGGGGCACCCTTTAATCTATGCTCAATAAAGGTGGGTACCCGCCCCCCCCCCCCCCCGGTTCCTTCCGGAGTGGTTTCCTCTGGGGGCCCCCCCCCCCCCGCTTTCAGCATCCGCAGGGCAGGGCCGTGACCACATCCGGTTGAGTCACCCCAAAAGGGGGGGGGGGAGGTTGGGCCCCCCCTCCGGGCTCCTTTGGGGCCCCCTATCCCCATTTGGGATCCCCCCGCCCCCCCATCCATCAAAAAAGGGGTTCCCCCTCGCTAAGCCCCGCCCCCTTTAAGCCTCTCCTTCATTCGCGCGGGGGCTTCCCCGTTGTACACGCGCCAACGCTAAGCCCCGCCCCTTGGGCCCCTGCCAGCCAATCACAAGGGGCTCCCCCTCCATAAACCCCGCCTAGGCGGGAATTCCTCATCTCCCGCGCCACGGGGGGGCTCCCCCTCCCGCTTGACCACGCCCCCTTTCCCCTCCGCCGTCCAATCGCGGAGAGGCCGCCAACGCTTGGCCACGCCTCTTCGTGCTGGGCCCGGCTCCCCTGGGTCCCTGTGCCCGTCCTCTCCCCCCCCGTTCCCCAACCTGTGCCCGGCGCTGCCACCGCCCGCCATGGAGCCAAGCGGGGCCCGGGCCTGCCTCGGCTACTGCCGCACGCACAAGGGGCTGGTGATGCTCGGAGAGATCGTAAGGACCGGGGGGGGGTCCCCATAATGGGCGGGGGTCCCCATAAATGGTTGGGTGCGACCCCCATTAATGGGGTGGGAAATGGGGGGGTTTAGGACCCTGCGGGACGTTGGGCAGCGGGATGTGGGGTTTTATTTGGCGGGGGAAGGGGGCACCCCATTCCCCATTCTAGGGGGGCATCACGTTCCCATTGTAGGGAATTGGGGGGGGCATTGGGATAATGGGGTTTCAGTGGGGAGGGGAAGCATAGGGACACGTGGATCTTTATGGGGGGGTCAATGGGACCCCCACCACCCCCCTCCGGTAGCATCTGGGGCCGTTCCCCCCACCCCCCACCCCTTTTAGTGTCTCCCCCCCCCCCCCCCCACGGTTCGGGCGCGTGGAGGGGCAACGCCCTTGGGAAACGGTTAACGGTGGGCGGGGCCAGGGGAGGAATCTGATCGCTGATTGGCTCAGAGCTTTGGGTTGAAGGGGGGCGGGGTGTTTAACGGGGGGGGAGGAACACGACAGACCGGGCGTTGGCCGGGCCCTCCCGTGCCAACCGTTTCTCGTGCCAGGCCGGGTGGTGCCCACGTCACAGCGCGCGCGGTCCCTTTAAGAGAACGGAGGGGGCGGCCCCTTTAAGACCTTTGTGTCCTTGCCCCTTTAAGAGCCCCCTACCCCTTTACGGCCGCGGTGGTCCCCACCTGCGTGCGTGCCCCTTTAAGGGCGCGGGAGGGGGTGCTGTTTATGCTGTTGCCATAGCGACGGCCCCCGCCCTGGCGCGCCCAACAGCGGCGCCTTGTCCCGCGGCCCACACGCGGGTGGGCGGGGGCCTCACGGGGGTGGGCGGGCTTAGTGAGCGGTGTAAGAGCCTTATACGGCGCCTATGGGCGCTCTATAGGGAGCGTTAAAGGGGCAATAGGGGACGTTGGGAGGGGGACCGGTGGGGGCCCTGTAAGTGTCCATAGGTATCTGTATAGGTGTCCCTACAAGTGTCCATAGCTGTCTATAGATGTCCCTATAGGTATCTCTATAGATGCCCATAGGGTGTCCATAGGTGTGCCTGTAGGGCCCCTATAGGTCTCTATAGGTGTCCCTAGGTCCCTATAAATATCTCCATAGGTGTCCCTATAGGTGTCCGTAGGTGTCTATAGATTCCTATAGGTCTCTCTATAGGTATCCCTAGGTCCCTATAGATACCTCTATAGGTGTCTGTATGGATATCTCTATAGGTGCCCCTATAGGTGTCCATAGGTGTCCCTATAGGTACCTCTATAGGTACCTCTATAGGTGTCCCTAAATCCCTATAGATATCTCTATACGTAACTCTGTAGGTGTCCCTATAGATATCTCTATAGGTATCTCTATAGGTACCTCTATAGGTGTCCCTAGGTCCCTATAGGTATCTCTAAACGTATCTCTATAGGTATCCCTATGGGCATCTCTGGAGGTGTCTATAGGTGTCCCTATAGGTACCCCTATAGGTGTCTCTATAGGTGCCCCTATAGGTATCTCTATAGGTGTCTCTATAGGTGCCCCTATAGGTATCCCTATAGGTGTCCCTATAGGTGCCCCTATTGGTATCTCTATAGGTGTCTCTATAGGTGCCCCTATAGGTATCCCTATAGCTGTCCCTATAGGTGCCCCTATTGGTATCTCTATAGGTGTCCCTATAGGTACCCCTATAGGTATCTCTATAGGTCCCTATAGGTGTCCCCATCGGGTCCCCTGCGCTGTCCCGCAGGCCCTGTGCGTCCTGGCCCTCGTGTGCTTCGGGGCCTCGCGCTCCCCCGGTTACTCGGGGCTGGCGCTGGCGCAGTTGGTGCTGGCGCTGCTGCTGCTGCTGGTGTGGGGCTGCCGCCTGCCCCCCGCCTGCGCCTCGTGCACTGGGGCTGGACCGTGAGCCACGGGGGGGGGCACTTGGGGGTCTGGGGGGGCACTTGGGGGTCTGGGGGGGCACTTGGGGGTCTGGGGGGGCACTTGGGGGTCTGGGGGGGGCACTTGGGGGTCTGGGGGGGGCACTTGGGGGTCATGGGGGGGTACCTGGGGGTCATGGGGGGGTATCTGGGGGTCTATGGGGGTGGGGGGGTACTTTGGGGGGTCATTGGGGATCTGGGGGGGGGGACGACCTTGGGGGTCTATGGGGGGGGCACTTACCAGGGTACTTGGGAGCACCTGGGGGGTCTATGGGTGAGTACTTGGGGGTCTATGGGGGGGGTTGGGGGTGTACTTAGGGGGGCCATTGGAGGTCTGGGGTGGGCCCTTGGGGGTCTGTGGGGCACTTGGGGGTCTATTGGGGGGTACTTGGGGGGCTGTGGGGGGCACTTTGGGGTCTATGGTGGGGCAATTGGGGGTTTATCGGGGGTACTTGGGGGTCTATGGAGGGGGTACTTGGGGGGCTGTGGGGGGTACTTGGGGTTTATGGTGCGCACTTGGGGGTCTATGAGGGGTACTTGGGGGGCTGTGGTGGGCACTTGGGGGTCTATGGGATCACTTGTGGGTCTCTGGAGAGCACTTGGGGGTCTCTGGAGAGCACTTGTGGGTCTCTGGAGAGCACTTGGGGGTCACTCGGCCTCTCCCCCCCATACCCAGGACTTCATCCGCTGCGTGGTCGGGGCCCTGCTCTTCCCTCATCACCTCCCTCATCGTCATCATCGGGCACCGCGACGGCGCCGGCACCGCGGCGGGGGTCAGAGATGGGGGAGGGGTTGGGGGGTTATGGGGGGGGTCAGGGGTTATGGGGGAGGGGTTGGGGGTTATGGGGGGGGAGGGGGGGTCAGGGGTTATGGGGGAGGGGTTGGGGGTTATGGGGGGGGGGTCAGGGGTTATGGGGGAGGGGTTTGGGGGTTATGGGGGGAGGGGGGGTCAGGGGTTATGGGGGAGGGGTTGGGGGTTATGGGGGGGAGGGGGGGTCAGGGGTTATGGGGGAGGGTTGGGGGTTATGGGGGGAGGGGGGGGTCAGGGGTTATGGGGGAGGGGTTTGGGGGTTATGGGGGGAGGGGGGGGTCAGGGGTTATGGGGAGGGGTTGGGGGTTATGGGGGGGAGGGGGGGTCAGGGGTTATGGGGGAGGGGTTGGGGGTTATGGGGGGGAGGGGGGGTCAGGGGTTATGGGGGAGGGGTTTGGGGGTTATGGGGGGAGGGGGGGGTCAGGGGTTATGGGGGAGGGGTTGGGGGTTATGGGGGGGAGGGGGGTCAGGGGTTATGGGGAGGGTTTGGGTTATGGGGGGGAGGGGGGGGTCAGGGGTTATGGGGGAGGGGTTTGGGGGTTATGGGGGGAGGGGGGGTCAGGGGTTATGGGGGAGGGGTTGGGGGTTATGGGGGGGGGGGTCAGGGGTTATTGGGGAGGGGTTTGGGGGTTATGGGGGGAGGGGGGGGTCAGGGTTTATGGGGGAGGGGTTGGGGGTTATGGGGGGAGGGGGGGTCAGGGGTTATGGGGGAGGGGTTGGGGGTTATGGGGGGAGGGGGGGGTCAGGGGTTATGGGGGAGGGGTTTGGGGTTATGGGGGGAGGGGGGGTCAGGGGTTATGGGGGAGGGGTTGGGGGGTTATGGGGGGGGGGTCAGGGGTTATGGGGGAGGGGTTGGGGGTTATGGGGGGAGGGGGGGTCAGGGGTTATGGGGGAGGGGCTTGGGGGTTGTTGGAGGGGTCAGGGGTTATGGGGGAGGGGTTGGGGTTATGGGGGGAGGGGGGGTCAGGGGTTATGGGGGAGGGGTTGGGGGTTATGGGGGGGGTTGGGGGGTCTCTGATCCCCTCCCCCCCCCCCCTCCCCCCAGGTCTTCGGGCTCCTGGCCGGGCTCCTGCTGGGATACGATGCTTACGTCACGCTGCCGACGCGGCAGGGCCCCACCGCGACCCCTACTGGTGGGGATGGGAACAATGGGGGCAATGGGGGGGGAATGGGGGGCAATGGGGGGGAATGGGGGGCAATGGGGACAATGGGGGATAATGGGGGCAATGGGGGATAATGGGGGGCAATGGGGACAATGGGGGATAATGGGGGGCAATGGGGACAATGGGGGGGAATGGGGGAATGGGGGGCAATGGGGACAATGGGGGGACAATGGGGACAATGGTTGGCAATGGGGACAATGGGGGATAATGGGGGGCAATGGGGACAATGGGGGGGAATGGGGACAATGGGGGGGCAATGGGGATAATGGGGGGCAATGGGGACAATGGGGGATAATGGGGGGCAATGGGAACAATGGGGGATAATGGGGGCATGGGGACAATGGGGGGGAATGGGGGGGAATGGGGGGCAATGGGGACAATGGGGGGACAATGGGGACAATGGTTGGCAATGGGGACAATGGGGGATAATGGGGGGCAATGGGGGATAATGGGGGGCAATGGGGACAATGGGGGCAATGTGGGACAATGGGGGGCAATGGGGGATAATGGGGGGGCAATGGGGGCCAGCAGGGACAATGGGGGACAGTGAGGGGGCAATGGGGACAATGGGGGAAATGGGGGCATGGGGACATTGGGGGACAGCGGGGACAATGGGGGACTGGGGGGGCAATGGGGACAATGGGAGTCAATGGGGAGCAATGGGGGGCAATGAGGGGGCAATGGGGACAATGGGGGGAAATGGGGGGCGATGTGGGACAGTGGGAGACAATGGGGGAAATAGGGGACAATGGGGGGTAATGAGGCGCAATGGGGGGCAATAGGGGATGCCCTATGGGGGTATTGGGAGCAATGGGGGACAATGGGGTGGCAATGGCGGTACTGGGGTTCAATAGAGGGCAATGGGGGGTGCCCTATGGGGGCAATGTGGTTCCTAACCCCTCCCCCCCATGTCCCTCCCCAGAGTCCCCGGATGGAGCCTGACCGCCCCACCCCCACCCCCACTGACCCCCACCCCCCCCCACGGAGGGGCTCGGCCTTAACTTATGGGGGGGAGTCTCCTCCTTCCCCCCCCTCATCGCAAGTGCCTTTTCCGTCCCCCCTCCCCCGCCGGGGGGGGGGCGATATTTGGGGAAATAAAGCGGTTTTTTGGTCAAGTCGTTACCGCTCGTGTCGCGATATGGGCGGCGATACGCTCGCTATAGGCCGCGGACTACAACTCCCAGCATGCACCGCGGCGCGCGCCGGACGTCCCGTTACGTCGCGACGTCCGGCGCATGCGCGCTGCTCCCCGCCGCTCGCCTCAGCGGCTCCCGCGGCTCCCGTCGCTTCCGTGTCCGTTCCTCCCGTCCGTCCCCCCCCCCCCCCACCGGCTCCGTTTCCGGTGTCTCCGGTTCTTGTCGCCGCGAAGCCGCCGTTACCGGTAACGCTCGGTTTCGGGGGGGGAGGGGGGATGTGGGGGGAGCGTCGGTGTGTGTGAAGGGGGGTTGTGGGTTGTGCGCATGCGCGAGGTCTCGCAGCGCTGATGGGGGGGGTCTGCGGAGGAGCGCGCATGCGCAGTGAGGAGGCGAGCGTTTATATAGGTGCTATAATTAGAGCGGGCGTTATGAACGCAACAACGCTTGGGAACGGTGGGGGGCGGGACGCTTTGTTTAGTGTAGGACCTACAAATAAACACCATGGGGGGGGGCAGCATCAACCACTTGTGGGTCCGCCCTGGGGGCAATGGGTGCTGTGGGTGCCGTTGTTCTCTATGGCACCCCACATAAAGAAGGGGTTTATTTACTGTAGGACCTAGATAAACACCATGGGGGGGGCAGCATCAACCACTTGTGGGGCCGCTCTGGGGGCAATGGGTGCTGTGGGTGCCATTGTTCTCTATGGCACCCCACATAAAGAAGGGGTTTATTTACTGTAGGACCTACAGCTAAACACCATGGGGGGGGGGGGGGGCAGCATCAACCACTTGTGGGTCCGCCCTGGGGGCACTGGGTGCCGTTGTTCCCCATGGCGCCCCACATAAAGAAGGGGTTTATTTACTGTAGGACCTAGATAAACACCATGGGGGGGGGGGGGGGGGGCAGCACCAACCACTTGTGGGTCTGCCCTGGGGGCACTGGGTGCCGTTGCTCCCCATGGCGCCCTATGGCCGCAGGCGCCCCGGCTGCAGCGCTATGGGGCGCTCGTCCAAGGACAAGCGGGACATCTATTACCGGCTGGCCAAGGAGCAGGGCTGGCGAGCCCGCAGCGCCTTCAAGCTCCTGCAGCTGGAGCAGCGCTTCCAGCTCTTCCAGGGTGAGGCAATGGGGGACTGGGAGGGACTGGGATCCATTGGGATGCACTGGGATGTGCTGGGATCCATTGGGATGCTCTGGGATGCACTGGGATGCATTGGGATGCGCTGGGATCCATTGGGATGCACTGGGAAGCACTGGGATGCATTGGGATGCGCCTGGGATCCATTTGGATGCACTGGGAAGCACTGGGATGCATTGGGATGGGCTGGGATCCATTGGGATGCACTGGGAAGCACTGGGATGCATTTGGATGCGCTGGGATCCATTGGGATGCACTGGGATGCATTGGGATGTACTGGGATCCATTGGGATGCGCTGGGATCCATTGGGATGCACTGGGATGCATTGGGATGTACTGGGATCCATTGGGATGCGCTGGGATCCATTGGATGCACTGGGATGCATTGGGATGCTCTGGGGTCCATTGGGATGCACTGGGATCCATTGGGATGCTCTGGGATCCATTGGATGCGCTGGGATCCATTGGGATGCTCTGGGATCCATTGGATGCACTGGGATGCTCTGGATCCATTGGGATGCACTGGGATGCATTGGGATGCTCTGGGATGCACTGGGATCCATTGGGATGCACTGGGATGCATTGGGATGCACTGGGATCCATTGGGATGCACTGGGATGCATTGGGATGCACTGGGATCCATTGGGATGCACTGGGATGCATTGGGATGCACTGGGATCCATTGGGATGCACTGGGATCCATTGGGATGCACTGGGATGCATTGGGATGCACTGGGATCCATTGGGATGCACTGGGAAGCACTGGGATGCACTGGGATGCGCTGGGATCCATTGGGATGCACTGGGATCCATTGGGATGCACTGGGATGCATTGGGATGCACTGGGATCCATTGGGATGCACTGGGATGCATTGGGATGCACTGGGATGCATTGGGATGCGCTGGGATCCATTGGGATGCACTGGGATGCACTGGGATCCATTGGGATGCGCTGGGATCCATTGGGATGCACTGGGAAGCACTGGGATGCATTGGGATGCGCTGGGATCCATTGGGATGCACTGGGATGCATTGGGATGTACTGGGATCCCATTGGGATGCGCTGGGATCCATTGGGATGCACTGGGATGCATTGGGATGCTCTGGGGTCCATTGGGATGCACTGGGATCCATTGGGATGCTCTGGGATCCATTGGGATGCGCTGGGATCCATTGGGATGCTCTGGGATCCATTGGGATGCACTGGGATGCTCTGGGATCCATTGGGATGCACTGGGATGCATTGGGATGCTCTGGGATGCACTGGGATCCATTGGGATGCACTGGGATGCATTGGGATGCACTGGGATCCATTGGGATGCACTGGGATGCACTGGGATGCGCTGGGATCCATTGGGATGCACTGGGATCCATTGGGATGCACTGGGATGCATTGGGATGCACTGGGATCCATTGGGATGCACTGGGAAGCACTGGGATGCACTGGGATGCGCTGGGATCCATTGGGATGCACTGGGATCCATTGGGATGCACTGGGATGCATTGGGATGCACTGGGATCCATTGGGATGCACTGGGATGCACTGGGATGCATTGGGATGCACTGGGATGCATTGGGATGCGCTGGGATCCATTGGGATGCACTGGGATGCACTGGGATGCACTGGGATCCATTGGGATGCACAGGGATGCATGGGATGCATTGGGAGCACTGGGATGCATTGGGATGCTCTGGGATGCACTGGATGCACTGGGATGCTCTGGGATGCATTGGGATGCACTGGGATGCGCTGGGATGCTCTGGGATGCATTGGGATGCTCTGGGATGCACTGGATGCTCTGGGATGCTCTGGGATGCACTGGGATGCTCTGGGATCCATTGGGATGCTCTGGGATGCACTGGGATGCATTGGGATGCTCTGGATGCATTGGGATGCATTGGGATGCTCTGGGATGCTCTGGGATGCACTGGGAAGCACTGGGATGCACTGGGATGCACTGGGATGCACTGGGATCCATTGGGATGCACTGGGAAGCACTGGGATGCATTGGGATGCTCTGGGATGCACTGGGATCCATTGGGATGCACTGGGAAGCACTGGGATGCACTGGGATGCATTGGGATGCTCTGGGATGCTCTGGGATGCATTGGGATGCATTGGGATGCTCTGGGATGCACTGGGATGCATTGGGATGCATTGGGATGCATTGGGATGCTCTGGGATGCATTGGGATCCATTGGGATGCACTGGGATGCATTGGGATGCATGGGGATGCTCTGGGATGCACTGGGATGCATTGGGATGCATTGGGATTGCATTGGGATGCTCTGGGATGCACTGGGATGCACTGGGATCCATTGGGATGCTCTGGGATGCACTGGATGCACTGGGATGCATTGGGATGCTCTGGGGATGCTCTCTCCCAGGGGTCCATCGCGCCGTCGATCTCTGCGCGGCACCGGGGAGCTGGAGCCAGGTCCTGAGCCGCAACCTGAGGTGGGGAGGGGGCTATGGGGGGCAATGAGGGGGGCTATGAGGGGGGGGTTATGGGGGGCTATGGGGGGGGTTATGGGGGGCAATGGGGGGAAATGAGGGGGTCTATGGGGGGCAATGGGGGGGCAATGAGGGGGCAATGAGTGGGTCTATTGGGGGCAATGATATGGGGGGGCAATGAGGGGGTCATGGGGGGGCAGGTGAGGGGGTCATGGGGGGCAATGAGGGATTCTGTCGCAGTCTCTTATGGGGGGCAATGAGGGGTCATGGGGGCAGTGAGGGGTCATGGGGGGCAATGAGGGGGTCATGGGGGGCAATGAGGGGTCATGGGGGGCAGTGAGGGGGGTCATGGGGGGCAATGAGGGGGTCATGGGGGGCAATGAGGGGGTCATGGGGGGCAATGAGGGGTCATGGGGGGCAAGTGAGGGGGTCATGGGGGGCAATGAGGGGGTCATGGGGGCAATGAGGGGGTCATGGGGGGCAATGAGGGGGTCATGGGGGGCAATGAGGGGGTCATGGGGGCAATGAGGGGGTCAGGGGGCAATGAGGGGGTCATGGGGGGCAATGAGGGGGTCATGGGGGGCAATGAAGGGGTCATGGGGGCAGTGAGGGGGTCATGGGGGGCAATGAGGGGGTCATGGGGGGCAATGAAGGGGTCATGGGGGGCAGTGAGGGGGTCATGGGGGCAATGAGGGGGTCATGGGGGCAATGAGGGGGTCATGGGGGGCAGTGAGGGGGTCATGGGGGGCAATGAGGGGGTCATGGGGGCAATGAGGGGTCATGGGGGGCAATGAGGGGGTCATGGGGGGCAATGAGGGGGTCAAGGGGGCAATGAGGGGGTCATGGGGGGCAATGAGGGGTCATGGGGGGCAGTGAGGGGGTCATGGGGGGCAATGAGGGGGTCATGGGGGCAATGAGGGGGTCATGGGGGGCAGTGAGGGGGTCATGGGGGGCAATGAGGGGGTCATGGGGGGCAGTGAGGGGGTCATGGGGGGCAATGAGGGGGTCATGGGGGGCAGTGAGGGGGTCATGGGGGGCAATGAGGGGGTCATGGGGGCAATGAGGGGGTCATGGGGGGCAATGAGGGGGTCATGGGGGGCAGTGAGGGGGTCATGGGGGGCAATGAGGGGGTCATGGGGGGCAGTGAGGGGGTCATGGGGGGCAATGAGGGGGTCATGGGGGCAATGAGGGGGTCATGGGGGGCAATGAGGGGGTCGTATCCTGCCCCCCAGGGGCTCCGCAGAGGGCCC